GACCTCTTGCCTGATCATCCTTGACAAGACAAATCTTTCTTTTCTTTCATACTTACTAGAAAGGACATTTGATTTTTGAGTAGTGAAATGTTAGAGGAAAATTAAAAACAAATTTCTTTAAAATATAGTCTTGCTTATTCTATCGTAGGTCATCACATCAAAACCTTGGTTTTATTGGTTTCCCTCCCTCCTCTTGACCATTTTACCTGTAAAAAACATATATATATATATATATGTTTCAGTGATAAAAGGGGGAAGAGGAAGTAATAAAACAGGAAATCATTCCTTTTTTTCCATTAATTAATCTAGTAAGTAACTGGCTTGAAAGTACATTTTGAATACTAGGAACTATGAAAAAGGAATTGAAAGTACTTCAAAAGAGTTTTTTTTAAAAAAAAAAACTGAGAATTTCATGTTTTCATACTGTTTATTGGACGCTTAGTTTGACTAGTTGGGAGTCTTTTAGACTTTGGAATATTCTCTTTCTCAGTCATATACCTAGAATTTGATAGTAATTTATTTTGTCATTTATTGATGCCTCCTGAGGTGCATTGTGTTTTTCTGGCTAATTTTCTCTTTTTTCATTTCAGTTGATCCTATTAAAATACTGATGCCATCACTCTCCCCTACAATGGAAGAAGGGAACATTGTGAAGTGGCTGAAAAAGGAAGGTGGGCAAGTACTGTACTGATGTCTTGTGTGCTTTGTTATTTGATCATTTTGATTATTTTTCTAATTGATTATATTAGAATCAATTTTTAAAAACCTACATGACATGAATGTGCTTCTGCCAGTTAATGTAAGTGTGTTTAGTAAACGTTTCCCCTGGTAATGTAGGAAATATCTTCTGGGTTCAGCCTGTGTCTTTTCACTGGAAGAGAATGGGAAATATTTTCAGACTTAGGTCCAGGTTTCAGTTCTTGTTCTTAGGTTTTAATTTCAATATCCTAAGTCTATCGATATCCCAAGTCTATCAAGAGCTCTGGTAGCGTAGTGCCTAAAGTACTTGACTGCTAACCAGAAGGCTGGCAGTTCAAACCCACCAGCAACTCCTCAGAAGGAAGGTTGGGCAATCTACTTCCGTAGTGATACTGCCTCGGAAACCCAAAGAGGAGTCCGACTCGACAGCACATAACAACAACAACAACAAGTCTATCACTCCTTCTTAAGTAAATTTAGAACTTTATCATTATTCCAGGTGTATTTTTTTTCCTAAAGCTAAACAATTGATTATAAATTTCACTAGAAAGAACAAATTAAGTAAGAACAACCAGAAGAACTCTCAAAAAGAAAAGCAGTGGAGAAAGGATTGTAGACCTAGTAGATATTAAAACATATTAAGCCCCAAAATTAAAATGGTGATATTGGTGCTTAAAAAGACAGACTAGTAGAACTGAATAGAAAAATAAGGCAATAGACACAAATGCAAATGGAAATTTGATAACATATAAAGGAAGGAAATACTAGATTTTCCTTTCACTAGGCCAAGGATAACTGCAAATAAATCAGACACTTACAAAAAAAAGAGGAAACCTTACTAGTACTGGGGAAGTAAAACATTCATTGGTCAATTTTTCTGATCTGCAAGTGGAATAAACACTCTAACTACAACTATTAGTAGGGAAAATATTGATAAATTTAGTGATAAAAAAAATAACTTTGGTGTGGCTAAAAGCATGATGGGTAAAATAAAAGTTCATTTAAAGTGACACATCAGGACAAGGTATTTACAATTGATATCACAAAGGGTTAAAATCCATAAAAAGAGAGTGTAAGACAGTTGTGAATCAACTTGATAGGAATATGGACAATATACATGTACAGATGGTTCACAGGAAAAGAATTGCCAGTGTCCCATTAAGCACATGAAAAGATGCTAACCTGTCTACCAATAGGAGATATGCAAACTTGTACTAAGGCACCCTGGTGGTGCAGAAGCTGAGCACGCAGCTGCTAACCTGCCCAGCTGCTCCCTGGGACAAAAACTTGGCAGTGTCCTCCTGTAAAGATCACAGTCTTAAGAACCATGCTTAAGTTAAATGCTTGGTAAGGTAGAGGGTGGACAAAAGGGGAAGGCCTTCAGCGAGATGGATTGACACGGTGGCTGTGACAATGGGCTCAAGTACAGCAAGGATCATAGAGCTGGTGCAGGATCGGGTGGTGTTTTCGTTGCTGTGAGTCGGAAACGACTCGACGGCACCTAACAGTCACAACAATAAGAACCATCTGAGGTAGTTCTAATCTGTCACATGGGGTCACTATGAGTCAAAAATCAACTCAGTGTAACCTCACAACAAGAGCAACAAACTAATGCTATGCTGAAGTAATCATTTCTCACTAAGCACATGGATGGAATTAAAGCTTGACAAGCTATCTATTCTGTTGTTGAGGCTGTGGTGAGAGATAGAAATTCTCATACATTATTGGAGGAAATTAGTGTTAGATTACCCAATAAGCAAGGTAAACACTGGCTTAGTTATGTTTACTTGCTAACATGTAGTGAACAATTTCATTTTTTTTTTCTTAACCATATCAAAGATTCTGCTTCTGGATATGGCTGCAATCTGTCTCTCTCCCAACCTCACAGCACCTTCCTATGGAATCAAAGCCTGTTTTCAAATTTACCATCCCAGACAAGGATGGAGTACCCAGTAATGAAGGTAAGCAAGCACAGTTTCCTTGTCCTTGCTTACTAATCTGTAGTATACAATTTCACCTGTTTTTCATGTGAAACTGTTCACTGGAGATTAGTAAGTAAGTACAGGTAGCCCATGCTTACCTTATTATTGGATCATCTGCCCCTGGAGGAAATGCTAACTGATTTAAACCCTAGGGAAGAGAATTTAACAATATACGGAAAAGTTACATTTATATTTACCCTTTGGCCCAGCAGTTACACTTCTAGGGATGTATCTCAGTGTTACACTGCAAAAATAGACACATTGATGAGAATGTTAATTGCAGTGCTGCTTGTAGTAGCAAAAGATGGAAGCTGCCCAAACGTGTATCAGTACAGAATTGGTTGAATAACCTATTTCAAAACTATAGAAAGGAATGAGTATCTCTTTATACTGCTCTGGAGTGATCTTCAGTGAAAAAGCCAAGGTACAGACAAGTGATGTAGCATATATCATTCATTCAAGGAAGAGGTGGGAGTGCATTGGCTGTAGAAATGTTGAACCAACTGTTAAAAGGGGAAAGTAAGGAGAAAAGAGCAAGTCAAGGTGAAGGACATGACCTGGGGAGTGGAGGACTTATGTTATTTCAGTTGTTGCTGTAGTTAAGTGCTGTCAAGTTGGTTTTGACTCCTAACGACCCTATGTACCACAGAATGGAGCACGGCCCGATCCTGTGACATTCTCATAATCACTGCTGTGCTTGGGCCTGTCGTCCCAGCCACTGTGTTGATCCATCTCATTGAGGGTCTTCCCTTTCTTCACTGACCCTTTGCTGTGCCAAATATGATATCCTTCAGTAGGCATGGTCCTTACTTACAACATGACCAAAGTAGGTGAGACAAAATCTGGCCTTTCTCACTTCTAGGAGATTCTGGCTGTAGTTTCTCCAAGACAAATTTGTTCATTCTTCTAGCAATCAATGGTACATTCAATATTTTTGGCCAATGCCACAATTCAAATGCATCTGTTCTTCTCTGGTCTTCCTTATTCATTGTCTAGCTGTCACGTAGGATCTCTGGTAGCATAGTGCCTAAGGCACTTGACTGCTAACCAGAAGGCTGGTGGTTCAAGCCCACCAGCCACTCCTCAGAAGGAAGGTTGGGCAATCTATTTCCGTAATGATATGATACTGCCTCGGACACCCAAGGAAGAGTCGCTGTGAGTTGGGTCTGACTCAACGGCACATAACAACAACAACAGCTGTCACGTGCATATGAGGATGAGACTCTTTTTTTTTTTTTTAATTGTGATTTGGGTGAAGATTTATAGAGCAAAATCACTTTCCATACAGCAGTTCACATATACTTTGTCTCATGTCATTGACCACAGTTTACCACAATGCAACAGCTCCCCTCCCACTTCCTCCCCATAGTTACCTCTTCCCAGTGTCCATCCCTCCATACTCTCCTGCCCCCTGAGGAGGATGAGACTCTTGAAGCACATTTGCCCAGTGCAGTATGATGTCTGATTTCTTGACTGCTGCTTCCATGAGTGTTGATTGTGGATCCAAGTAAAATGAAATTCCTGAGAACTTCAATCTTTTATCCATTTAGCATGATATTGCTTAGTGGTCCAGTTGTAGATTTTTGTTTTCTATATGTTGAAGTGTAATCCATACTGAAGGCTATAGTCTTTGATCTTCATCAGTAGTGCTTTAAGTCATCTTCATTTTCAGCAAGTAAGGTTGTGTTATCTGCATATCACAGGTTGTTAATGAGTCTTCCTCCAATCCTGATGCCATATTCTTCTTCATATAGTCCAGCTTCTCAGATTACTTGCTCAGCATACCGATTGAGTAAGTATGGTGAAAGGATGCAACCCTCATGCACACCTTTCCTGATTTTAAACCATGCAGTATCCTCTAATTCTCTTTGAACAACTGCCTCTTGGTCTATGTACAGGTTCCTCATGAGAACAATGAAGTGTTCTGGAATTTCCGTTCTTTGCAGTGTTATCCTTAATTTATTATGAGCCACACAATCAAATGCTTTTTCATAGTCAGTAAATCTCAGGTAAACATCTTTCTGATATTCTTTACTTTCAGCTACCATCTGACACCAGCAATGATTGACATCCTTCATTCCAGACCCTCTTCTGAATCCAGGTTGAATTTCTGGCAGTTCCCTGTAGATGTACTGCTGCCACCATATTTGAGTCATCTTCAGCAAAGTATTATTTGTGTGTGATATTAATGATATTGAATAATTTCTTCATTCTGTTGGATCACCTCTATTTGCAATCAGCACAAATATGGATCATTTCCATTTGGTTGGTCAGATAGCCATCTTCCAGGGTTTTTTGCATAAACGAGTGAGTGCCTCCAGCACAATTGTAGGACAATTGAAAAAGCCCCTTTTCCTTACTCACATTTGAAAAGCCAACTTTGAACTTCTAGTCAGTATGACCATCTAAGCAGATGGGGTAAGACTTCTGTTCACTGCTGGATATAATACTATAAAATACATCTTTTTAATGTAAATTAAGTTTAACACAAGAAAGGAATCACTAGTATCAGCAGCAGAGAAGGAAGTCAAGAGTGGTGAGTGGAAATTGAAGTCATGTGCTCCTCTGAGAGTTGCTGAGATGAGAGCAAGTTTTTTGGGGGTAGGGAGCTATTGCAGGGAGGGAAATGAGAAATTAGGTCAGATTTGGATGTGATGAAGTTTGAGCTGCTTATTAGACATTCAAGGGAAAGTAGGCAATAGGTAATGGGCTGTATGAATTCTCAAGAATGAAGTCTGACTGGGAGATAGAAATTTGAGAGTTGTCTGCATATGAATGAAATGTAATGCCATAAGATAACAGCAGACTTACTTGTTTGACTTTGAGTCTGTATGGAAACAGAATGCCTACTCTTGAAAATCTTTCTCATGGGCCTTATCCTCATGAGTTTTTTTTGGGTCCAATTTATAGTGCTTGCATTTTCTGGAAGCCCACAGGCAGAAGTAGAAAGTCCAGGGCTGATAATTCCCCTTGGGTTAGTTAGCAGAAGC